GCTGAGAGAGGGGAAGGCGTGCGCCCAGGTCCAAAGGTTCTTCCATACAGAGCGGGCTTCCCACTGTGGTCGGGTGCCCACGCCTGGCACACCTGCCTGAGCACTAGTCGCCAGCAACTCGAGTAAAAGAACCCCCCCCCCCGCCCCCGTTGCAATCTTCCTGCACCAAAGCATCATGGGATGAGGCCTGCACGGCCCTGCCCCACAGGGAAGAAACTGAGCCCCACCCACGGGTCATTCCAGACACATCCTGAGCCCCGGCCGCTCCCAGGTGCTGGCTGAGCATCGGGGGAGGAATCGAAGGGAAGTCCGATTTGCCGATTGTAAGGAACCCGGGCTCCAGGGGGAGAAGTGACTCCCAACAAACCATGACCATCTGCAGTGGGATGCGTGCAAAGACGGTGCAAGAGGAGGGACTGCAGGTGCCGGGAACACAGAGGGAGGAGGGGGCACCCTCATGGCACTGCTGTGCCAGCCAGAGCCGGGGAGTCTGCACAGGCGTCCATGGGTTAACACAGGAAGAGAGACCCCGGGAAGCAGCCTGCCTCCCGCCCCAGCGCAGGCCTGTCTCACTGGCAGCCCCGGTGCCACTCCACCAGCCGGGAGCCACACACACCCTCCCCCTGGGACAAGGCAGAGCTCCGCTCGGCCTGCCCCCTGGGCGTGTTTCTTTAAGGCACTCACACCCGCACTGTCAATGCCTTTCCATGCGGGGCTTCCTTGCTGCGCTGCACACCCTGTGACCAGAACTCAGTACCACCCGGCTCGGCAGCCCCGCTCTGAGCCTCGCCCAGGGCCATGAGCCCTACAGAGTGAGAACTGACTTCCCCACCCCCACCCCTACTCCAAACCCCTGGGAAAGACCAGAGGAAACACTCCCTCCAGGCTTCTCCCAGACGGGGAGGTCCTCCAGGGCCACAAAGCCGAAGTCTGACAGGTACATCCCTGTTCCTGCGCCACCTCGCTGACCCCCGGCCTGAGAACGCCCCTTCCGCTCTCACCCTCTGTTAGAAGCGAGCTGGCACCCAAACAAAGCCTGGCGAGCCAACAGTTCATGTCCAGTTTTCTAAATAAATGCTTTGCCTGACCGGCGTGGCTCAGGGGCTGAGCATCGACCTAGGAACCAGGAGGTCAGGGTTCGATTCCCAGTCAGGGCACATGCCCGGGTTGCGGGCTCCATCTCCAGGGGGCAGCCGATCTATGATTCTCTCTCATCATTGATGTTTCTCTCTCTCTTCCTCTCTGACATCAATTTTAAAAAAGTAATTAAGAAAAGGCTTCAGTAAGTAGGCCACGGTGTCGTCTCTGTGTCGTGGATTGTGGCTCCAGGAGAAGGAAAATGGGAGCCCGGTCCGCGACTCAGGAGGAGAGGAACCTTCTCAGAACCTACAACGTTCTCGGGACTGTTTCACAGACGAAGAGCCTGAAGCTCAGAGAGCCTGTCATCACCAAAGCTCCCTGTCCAGTTCGTCCGGTTCCCAGGGGAAGCGCTGGGAGAAAGCGACAGCACGCCACCAAGTTCTGAGCGTGGCCTCTGTAGGTCACCGCAGGCCACGCTCGCACGGGGCAGGGAGTGATGGCTCCGTCCTGGATGGCAGGCACCGTGTCGGAAAGCAGAGAGAGATTCCTCTGCCTGCGCCTGTCTCGGAGACAGACAGAAGGTCGCGGAGGTATAATTTCCTTATGGCGGTACTCTTCATACTTCACAACATAAAAACAGAGCAGCGCTCGGGAACCCAGTCAGAATCTCCTGAGGCACCCGGGGACCCGGGGACGGGAGACACTGCTCGGCTCCCCTCGCCCCCAGGCTGGGACTCTGCACCAGCCCTGGGCCGGCCGCCACCCGCACTGGGAAGCCACTCACGTGGGCAGACGGTGGGAAGCGGGGCACAGGAATTCCCACACCAGCTTCCGCTACTCTCGTCTGCGCCCTCACACAGATCAGAGCATCCGACTTACGTCCGGCCACGCAAACACTGCATTTTCCCCAACAGAATAAACAGGTCACAGCCGCCAGAGGGCACAGGAATTCCCACACCAGCTGCCGCTACTCTTGTCTGCGCCCTCACAGAGATGAGAGCATCCAACTTACATCCGGCCACACAGACACTGCCATTTTCCCCAACAGAATAAACAGGTCACAGCCGCCAGCTAGCCTCACACTCTCCTTGAAAACAGTTTCTCAGTTCCAGCTTTCGGAGTATCTTCTCTTTAGGGCACAGTCAGCCCGAGACTGGAAGTTGGCTGCGTGACCCTGAACCAGTTACACCTCCCTCCAGCCGCCAGCTCTTTCTCTGCAGAATGACCACAACGAAACACCTCCACCAGGCGGTCACCAGGGTTGGAGGAAGTGAAGTGGGGAAAAGCCCGGCCACACGGGCCCCCTAGACCAGTGGTTCTCAACCTTCTGGTCCTTTAAATACAGTTCCTCGTGTTGTGACCCACCCATAAAATTATTTTCGTTGCTACTTCATCACTGTAATGTGGCTACTGTGATGAATCGTCATGTAAATATCTGATATGCAGGATGGTCTTAGGCGACCCCTGTGAAAGGGTCGTTCGACCGCCAAAGGGGTCGCGACCCACAGGTTGAGAACCGCTGCTTAGGCACTCAAGGAATAGGGGCTACAGAACACACACAAGCCACTGCTTCCTGCAAATACTCCTCAGAGAGCGTGCCTCTTACAATATCCAAAATGTGAGAGCTTAACAGCAGCTGGTGAAAGCCAAAAGCCACTCCAGCTTGTTGATGGATCAGGACTCACAGGTTCAGGAGCAGCCAGGGCTGAGGCAGAGGGCGAAGGCGCCACATGCAGCGCCACCTGGTGGGAAGAAGAGCGGCGTGCACATGACGTACAGCCTGAAACAGAGGAACAAGGGCAAAGGATGGGAAGGAAAACTGCCCCTTCTCCTCTCCAGTATAATAACTTCTCCCGGAGCCTGGGCCAGCAGGGGCCCACATGTGAGATTCCTATCAACAGAGAGACCAAGAAGGGCGCTCTGGCACGCTCAGGCTTTTTACCACGCCAGGACTCGGCCGGGAATACCCTGTCAAGCCCTTAAAATAGCAGCCGGGGGGCTGACTGGTGAGAGACTTCGGACATGGACTGGAAGGAAACGGACGGCTCGCCGGGGCGCAGGAGGGTGTCTGTGCCTGGCGAGGCCCGCCAAGTGTCCAGACATGGTCACAGGTGCGCGCAGAGGCCCGGCTGTGACAGCTCCGTTTGTGAACTGCAGCTTCAGGTGCTGCCTCCGCGGGGAGCATCGTAAACACCCATCAGCGCTGCTAACTCTGCGTCCTCAAGAATGCCTTTCTCCCCGGCCAGCCGCTGTGGCTCAGTGGTTGAGCATCGACCTATACAGCAAGTTTTCCCACTTCCTCCTTGGCCCCTGACATACACGTAATTAAAACCCCTGCCTGGGACGCGTACTCAAGACCGAAGGTATCGCTGGGGAGCACAGGAAAAAGCGGGCCTGCCTCCAGGTAAAACACATGTTCCGGAACCTTTTGTAAAAATTCATCCTCCCGCCCTGGCCCCTGAGGCTCAGCTGGGCATCTTCCTGTTGCCGGAAGGTGGCCGGTTCGATTCCTGGTTGGGGCACATGCTCGGGTTGTGGGCTCGATTTCCCGTACGGGGTGTGCAGGAGGCAGCTGGTGGATGTTTTGCTTTCACATCAGTGTTTCTCTCTCTCTCTCCCTCTCCCTTCCTCTCACTCTCTGAAAATCAATAGAAACTCTTTAAATGACTAAGGACTTGAAATTAGCTTCCCTGGACATTTCCATAAATGCTTACTTAAGGTATCAGACAAAAAGCAAGCCTGGATTTAAGGGAAACCACTGCAAACGATTCTTTAAAAATAATAATAACATTAAATAATTCATCATCACCAATGGAAATTCCTGACCGGCGTCTACCACAGACACCTCCCAGGAAGCAGCTGGCACTGAGGGGCCCTGGATTGGGCAGCTGCTGTTAGGATTTTCATCCCCGATGCCAAGGAGCACTCAACTTCCTTCTTTAAAAAATGTAATGCATTCTCACTCCCCCCGGAGGGGAGGAGGACAGGAGTACCAGGGCCCTGTGGTGCCCAAGCTGTCGTGGGCACTGGATCTGCTCTGTCCATTGCTCCTCTGGCCTGGGGTGTCCGTGTGGCGCCCGGGACAGCAGGCCACTCCTGTAGGTAAGAAGGCTTACGTGGCAGAGGCTCCAAGTGCTGGTTCTGATCTGCCCTAAGGACCCTCATCAGGGGTGTCAGGAAGGAGAGCTGATTGCATTAGCGTGCACCGGCTTCAGTTCCCGGGGAAAGGATAAAAGGGAACAGACCTCTGATTCAAAGCAGACCTGACGCAGCCTCTCAGCACCTCCCGGAGCGGGCCCTTCCCCAGGTGGCTCACTGCATCACTAGGACCTGCTTGCACTTGTGTCTGGGAGCCCATCAGAGACCCCCCTCCCCCCAGCTCAGGTGCCCCACCTTCCTAAGGGGCGGGGCTCTCTCGAATGGAGACATGAAAGGGCCATGGACCAACCGTGGGCCAAGCGTGATGTCAGGTGCCAAAGACACAGACACATAGGACGAGGCCCTGCCTCCCAGCAGCTCACTCTGTCCCAGGGAAGACAAGACGTGGCAGAAACAGCCTGGCCAGCGGGGCTCAGTGGTTGAGCGTCGACCTATGAACCTGGGGATCACGGTTTGATTCCCTGTCAAGGCGCATGCCCGGGTTTCGGGCTCAATCCCCAGCGTGGGGGCCTGCAGGAGGCAGCCGATCACTGATTCTCTCTCATCATTGACGTTTCTCTCTCTCCCTCTCCCTTCCTCTCTGAAGTCAATAAAAACATATTTTTAAAAAACAAACAGAAAACCCTAAGAAGTACAATTAAAAACGGAATCACCATGCCCGCCTCTGGATGTAGCAGAGGCTCACACTATAGTCTGAAAGAGCCCCACGTAAATACAATTCTGCAATTTTCATTCTCAATCTTCTCTTGTGCTTTACTCACCTGAGGACATTCAAGCAAATCAAAGGTATTTTCCAAAAGGGTCCTCAAAAAATGAAACCGGGTTTTGTGGCACAGAGCTGCGCGCAGGGCAAAGGGACACGCTGTCACCCCTCACGTGCACCCCGCGTCACACTGAGTCCCAACATCAGAGAAGCAGGTGCGAGCTGAACGCTCGTTCTAAACGACCGACACAGCGCTCCATCAACTGGGCGCACTCAGACCACCTTCCTCGCCACTCCTCTGCTCCGCTGCCTCCTGCCACCGACCACTATGCATAACCTGGCAGCGAGCCAGCCGCCAATCCATATATTATATCAGATAATTAAAAATACAGGGTTTCTGTAATCTTATTTAATGGTTACTTGGCTTGTACTGAACACCATCCAAAGCGAGACCAGAGTGCGGGATTAAATTATAATGCGTAAGGCATTTCTGGAGATGGCTCGGAGTCCGAGTCAGCACTTGCCTCCTAGCAAACACAACACAAAACACAGCCCAGAGCAGTACTTTCATCTCCAATTAGCCTCCCTGGCAAGAAAGGGCTCGGCCAATGCACCCGCAGGCGCCTGCGTGGAAGGGGGCGGGGCCGGGTGGAGGGGAAACAGCAAAGCCCTTTTTCTTTGATTTGGTTTTATATCAAGTAAACATCACCCGCTACTTTGGGGAAGGAAACAGAAGTAGTCAATATTTGGGGGAGGAGCTGAGGGGGAGTGGGGCGGGAGAACCAGTTATCTTGAGAAAATAACTGAAAATGAGAGTCAGCAACAAAGGCCCATCATAAAACACCAGCTGGAAAAAAGTCTAAAAGCCAACCTGGCCCTGGCTGGTTCAGCTCAGTGGATAGAACATCGGCCTGTGCTGAAGGGTCCTGGGTTCGATTCCAGCCGAGGGCACATCTCCAGGCCTGGTTGTGGTGCATGTGGGAGGCAGCCAATCAGTGGGTCTCCCTCACATGGATGTTTCTCTCTCTCTCTCCCCCTCCCTCTGACTCTCTCTAAAAATCAATGGAAAATATCCAGGGGTGAGGATTCACAAAATACAAAACGAACGAAGAAAAGCCAGCCTCTGCTTCGATGTCCTCCCAGCTCAAGTTTTCTCTTAAAGATGATTTGGAAAAAAAGGAATTTGGCTGGAGAGTTGATCAATGCTAGCAAAGCCTTAATTTTTTACAAAGTGACAGCACTTTACTCGTAGGCTGTTCGTGACCACACTGCGCTGGTTACTGAAGTGATG